TGTCATTTTGTCTATAATGTGGATTCTAAGAAGTGAGATAGCCAATTTGGAAGAATGTAGAGATTTAATTATTACTTATATTGTCAATTTCTCTCTAATGTAATACCCATTTATATACTAGCCAGAATATGCAAAAGCACATTTCCTTATCATTCAATATTTTAAGTTAATCTGTTAAGGAAAATAAACTTATCTTCTTGCTTTACATTACATTTACTGTTATTTGAAAAGAAAACAAAAGTGTTTTTGAAAATTTCCTCTAAACACAGTACTACTACATGGCAGAAATAAAGATGATAATTGAGAGAACAGGAAGATTCTATATTAGTAAAAGTCAGAGATCATGTGGGGCTGGGGATATAGCTCAGTGGTAGAGTGCCTGCAGAGCATGCATGAGGCCCTGGGTTTGATCCTCAGTATTGAAAAAATAAATAAATAAAAGGTCAAATATCATGAAGGCTTATATTGGGCCAGAAGGAGGTATCTATTCCAGAGCAACTATATGTCGAATGGCATGTTAACTTTTTATCACTAGATTATTAATAGTGATAATTGGTAATATATTGACATCATTTGCCAAATATTTCTTTAAAAGCAAAAAATAAAGATTTTTTCTTTGAAGTTAAAAATCATTCAGTACTTCCAAATTGTGCAATACATTTAAGGCATTATATATTCAAGTACTTGAATTTAAATGATGAATTCAGTAATATGTTTCTTGAAATATAGACCATAGTCTTTGTCTTCCAAAGGATATTTTAATCAAAATATTAAAAATAAGCTGAGTCTCATTCAGATAGTTAATTCCAGCTGCCTTTTGTGGTAATATATCATGAATTATCTCTCTGATGGATGGGTAGCCAAATGCAGATAAAATTAGCTTTGCAGTCATTCATTTTAAATTGCTCTTGAATCATTTGGAAGTAAATTCCATTTCAGAAGAATACGCTTCAAGTCTCAGACAAAGAGATAATGGTCCTATATTTTATGATATAAGCAATAATAGTTTAAGTCTTATGATTCAGAAATACAGAAACTTATGTATTAAGTTGATGAAAATTAAAGCTTGATATATAGCAATAAAACCAGCAACCTAAAGCTTCCTAGATTGATGTTCATAGCATAATATTTTCCTGTCAAGAATTAGGTGGAATGAAAGTCTATAAAAATAATACATGGTGCAAAGCTTTCTCTTCTTGTATATAAATGAAAAATCAAATGCCCCTATGAGATAACAGAAAAGGAAATACTGGGATTTACTGATATCAAGATAAGAATGGCACTACTGTTGCAATGTCATTATTAACTAATAGTAGAAAGTGAAAAATAAGTCAAATGGTAGGGGATAGCAAAATTTATAATAATGTTATATCTCCATCAAAAAAAAGGAAATTATAGCTTTGAGTTGATACTGAATTCAGTGTACAGAACCAAAGCAACTTCAGAGATTTTTCCTTTGTTAGTTTGAATGAACTAAATGTAGAAAACGTTTTAGCAATCTTACTATTAAAAAATCATTTTGCCTAAATAGAGTAATGCAATTAATATCGGCAGCAGAGTATACATTTTTATAAAATAAAATAATTTAGGGTAACTATAATATGTCACTAGAAATAAGTTCACAGTCTGAAGTTGCTGTTTGAAAATTGGGTTCCTATTGTCACACTGATCCCTTTTTCAGATATTTATATTAAGAAATAAAGTGGTAAGAAGATTCACTCACTGATCTCCCTGTGGAGAAATATCAAAATTGTTCTTTTATAGCTTCAACTTTTGCAGCATGACCTTATTAGTTTCAGAAAGCTGGTTTGCTGGTATAGTAAAATGAATTGCATGCTAGGAAGTGATTTCAGTAAATCAGCTCAAGGTAGAATCTCAAACTTTCTGATCGCCATGTATTTAACAGTCCTCTAGTGGCCTGGAAGAGTTAGCCTCAGCAGATAGGGATTTACTTGTTTTGGATCATTTCCATGGATGGGCATCTGCAAGACCATGTTTTCTACAAAATAGTCAATCACTATAAAAAACTTGGAAATACCAAATAAGCTCCAAAATGAATATTCACAATAGCTTGTGAGCTCATTAGTAATCCTCCCATTTGTATTTTGTCATATTTATCCCACTATCCGTATCTACTGTCTTGAATATTATTTACTAATGTTATTTCTATAACCTAAATTGAGTACTAGAAGTGGCATACCATATCACTTAATGTTACTTAATCCAAGGCTGTAGCTTATTGAATAAATTTTGTAGAAAATATTAATAGACTATTATGCTATTATTGGCGAGAGCAGCTCTCTAGAGCAATATTAAGAGGTGGGTTCTGTAGAATCTAGAATAATATGTAAAAAAAGAAAACATTAAATTTGTCACACGAAGAAAACATTTCTAATGATAAAAATCATTTTTTAGTAACCTTCACTTTAAGTGTTGAAAAGTGCTTTGGAAAATCAATACTGTGGGAAGCCTCAAACCAAGACATAGATTTATTTCTTCTTATCACAATCATCTTAAAACTAAATATTAAGGAAATGCAAAGTTAGTTTGATCATATGTTTTATAATGATATTATTAAATCTTTATTTCCCCCCCATCACATTTAACAGAGCCTCTTGTTACTTGAAAATATATGTGTGATTTTCTTATCTTCATTAGTTTTCTCAGTAGTTTACAATAAAATAATCAGAATAAAAAAGATACACATTTTTAGCAGGGCATAGAAATCAATTTTTAGTGTCTCTATAAAGTCTTTCCATAGAATATGAACCTATAAATACTTTGTTACATTATTAAATAAAGTAATGTAATACATGATCCTCTGATATCTTATAATTCCTTTTAAAGGAATAAGACTAATTTAAACCACAGCTGAAAGCCTTTTTATAATTTGCATACTTGAATACATAATTATTAAATGCTTTCACATGTTTTGTGTATACAAATACATACTAACAGTAAAAAAAAAAAGAATGAAGTCTAGTTTACCATCTGTCTCCATGAATAATAATTAAAAACAAAAGCCAACCTTGTGTAGAATTTGAGTTTTATATTTTGCAGTGCTTTATTGATTATCAGCCCTGTCAGTCATCATATACAACAGGAAGTGCTTCAGCTGAAGAAAAATAGGGCCTTCAGGACAATAGTTTTGTGGTGATGGATCCGTCAATAGCTCAGTTCCTCATCCTTTTGCCTTTCTGAGCTACATTTATTTAAGCAGTCTTGATTGTTCCTACATATTGACTAAAGGAGCTTAATTGATAGAAACAAGGATATTCTTTAGTAAGCTGACTATTTGGCTCCTTGTTGTTCAACAGTAGAAAAAACAAAAGGAGGTAAAGTAAGAAAGAAAGAAAACTATAGGAAACATCACTTACACGCCAGAGCTACTTTGAAAACTCCTTCTGCCCATGATGCAAGTGAAGCCAACTTGTACTGCAAAAGACATTAGCAGAAACTGGATGTCATTACTATTTGACAGCTATCCCATGATCTAGATGAAAAATGTCCCCGACCAGGTTCTTAGGAGACAGATGTTCACTTCACCAATGGCCATCTCCCAAAATGGGGCAACAACTGAATGACAAAAAAAAGAGTTTCAAGGTAACATCTAAGCAACCAGTCTTTAAGTACCAGAACCATATTTTGTCTTTGCTACTGAATATATATAGTGCTAAGGATTTTTAAAAATTTTTAAATTTATTTTTAAATTTTGATCTGAGAGTTTTGTCCCTCTACAGATTAGCATGTTTAGGAAAATAAAAATAGTTTTGTTTTTCTCTGTTTCTTATAAAAAAGATAATTATCAGTCGGGCATGGTGGTGCAGGCCTGTAATCCCAGCGGCTCTGGAGGCTGAGGCAGGATGATGGAGTTCAGAGCCAGCCTCAGCAAGAGCAAGGCACTAAACAATTCATTGAGATCCTGTCTCTAAATAAAATACAAAAAAGGGCTGGGGATGTGGCTCAGTGATTGAGTGCCCCTGAGTTCAATCCCTGGTACCAAAAAAAAAAAAAAGATAATTATCAAGCTTAATTTATTTATAATGTATTGAAAAGACTCTTTTTACCTTGACTTTTGTGAAATGTGATAGATTTTATTTAAAAAATCACTTTTATGATTTTTTTATTTAGAATCATGCAGAATCCAAGTTTAAAAAAAAAACTCAAAGTGAACAAATATCTCAAGGGATTTTTAAGTTGTGTTTATTCAATGGTGTTGGAACATCAGGGCAGGAACAATATGTTTGATAATTTTCAGTGCCATAAAAATGAGTGTGTTGTTCTTCTTTAAAACAAAAAATCCTCAGTAATCCAATGAGAACAGGTTTTCCCAGTCACATAACACCATATAAGGTCTGAAGTGTAATTTTAAAATAAGACCAAAAAGCATTTCTAGACTCTAGGCTGTACTGTGCCTCTGAATTGATGTTATCATTACTATTTCCAATGCTTTGTAAATTATGAGTTTAATTAATATATGTTGGCTGAATAATGTTTCACACTGTGGAATTTTTTGAAAATAGTGATAGATTTAAACTGAATCTAAAGATCCTTAGTTTGTGTCTCTAGTATGTCTATTCAATGCCTTGCGAAGGATTTAAGATTTTCATTTGAGCCTTGTGCTTTTCAAACAAATTTTTCTTATGAAGTTCATTTAGCTTTTATCAACTCTCATTGAGAGTAACACTGTATACTGGGAAGTGTAGTAATATATTGGGAAGAGCACAGTGTTGGTGTTAGACAGCCTTGAATCCCAATTCCAGTTCTACTAATTACTGTCTGTGGTTTGAGGGAAAGGTGTTTATTCTCCCTGATGATGTGTTTTGCTATGAGTATAATAATGCAGCTCCTTAATTGAGCATCTAGTCTATTGATATATCTGGCATGTAGTAGATTTTCAAATCATGTAATTATTTATAAGTCAGTATTTTAAAGTGAATAGCAAAATAAAAGACAATTTATCTGAATGTTATGACCATTTTCCACTTTCTTCTTAACAGACGACGACTTTTTTCATGAACTCCCAGAAACGTTTCCATCAGATCCACCTGAGCCTCTGCCACATTTCCTCATTGAGCCAGAAGAAGCCTATATTGTGAAGAATAAGCCTGTGAACCTGTACTGTAAAGCCAGCCCTGCCACCCAGATCTACTTCAAGTGCAATAGCGAGTGGGTTCATCAGAAGGACCACATAGTAGACGAACGAGTGGACGAAACCTCTGGTGAGTTTTCACTGGCATTTGGACGGCAGTGCAAGATCCTACGCTGGCCTGTTGTCATACTGTTATTTCAGTTAGTGAAATTAAAAATGGAGTTTTTATCCCTTGGAAGAAGTTTTGAGTCGGTTTGGTTAAGATTTGGTGATCTCATTCCAAGGATTACAAAATAAACTGTGATGAATATATCTTGACTCGATTCCTGTTGGACTGCATGTAATTATAGCATTATTCATGCTTGAGGAGATAAATAATGTGAATAAATAGACTGAATTAATGTGGATGCCCTATTAAAAGATGTCTTTCAATTTTACTTGTGTGGTAGTCAGATCTAAAGGTCCTGAGTCTCATGTTCAACTTTACTGACATCACTGAAAGTGTTAATCCATAAGCAATGTCCCCTTATATTTTTAAAAGAATCTGTCAGTGTTGTAGAATCAAAATATGTTGTCTCCATAACTTACACGAACTTATCCTGACTCCATAATTCTTATCTGTTGTTACATTGAGGGTGACAGAACAGGCATAGTGAGAGATCCAGGAGCAGGAGCTACCTTCTGAGTGGGTCTTGATCAGAGAAACTTGGATCCTGGAATGATTAAAACTCCTGATTCTGCTGTTCTATAAATATTGCCCTTAAAGATAAAATATTAAAGGTATAGAAAGGACAAAGTCAATTTTAATAACTCGAGTTTACATTGGCTATAAAGGAAACTTTCTTAGTAGCAGTTTTTTGTTTTGTTTTGTTTTTTTACTAAACAACGAGTAATTTAGGATAGTTGTGGAATCTCCTGCAGTTCTTAAATTGAAAAGATATATGTATATATATTCCCCATGATTTAGAGTGTTTTTGCTCTCCGGTAGGGAGACTATCCCTTGGAAATCCCTTTCAGATCCCTTCGATATCTAGGATTTTTTAGTACCAAGACATATATTTTAAGTATTAAGACTCCATCCACCAACATTTCTAAGCTAAGTAGTTACCTTTATGGTAAAAAAGTGGAAGCATTTAAATATCATCTTGTCCTTCATAGATATCTCTATGTACCAAAATGGATTGATGTTTTCAAAAACCAAATAGTAAATAAGTCATGTTTGTGCCTGAGAGTTGGATTATCCAAAGACAAGTACAGACCGGTGCATGAAGGGGATCTACATTCAATATCACTAACAGCAAAACTAGTATGTTGAATTAATAGGACATAAAGAAATAAAATTCACTATGAGATAATTAAGAAAAGGCAACTTATATGGAACATAAACTCATATAACATAATGGGTCTTTGGAAATCAGGTGGCAACTCTTCATAATTGCTTGTCTATTTGTGAATCAATATGTTCACTGTATGTAAGCTGCTGACTGCAGGAATAGCTGGGTATCCAATTGTAGGGTAGCTTACTTCAGGGAATTGCCCCACCTCTTGGTCTAATTACTCAGAAAATAACTCCACCAGATGTCTACAAATTCTCAAGTGGATTGAGTTTTATTTGTTTCAGCTCATTTATTTGTAAAGATTTTGGATACCTAAGCTTTTAATGATAGGAGAAAGATAAGATATCACAAAAGCTAACATGAGGCTCACAACATATTTTATACACTTGTCTTTGCCAAATTAATGAAAATGCCTATTTAGAAAGATTAAAAATAATAATAAAACTTCTTTGATATTCAGCACTTCTGCCAACTTCATGCTATGTAGGTAACACATATACAAACATACACGGGGTTTCTTTCCATAAAACATTTGTTTTCTATGTTTCTACACAAAAGTAATTATTACTACATGTATCCAATGATTGAAACTACCTTTTAAAGTTACTATAAACTAAAATAGATGACATGTTTCTAATCAAATTCAGGATGGATAGATGAGAAGGAAGAAGAGATTTGGGAGCTTTAACACAGTTTTCTGAAGATGTCAGGGGTGGAGTCTAATGCAATATGGTTTTCTGTTGGGTTTCGTTTCCATTTGAAACTCTATGAGAATGCCAGCATCCATCCTAAAATTAATATTCTAGACACATCCTAGGTCTAAAATTGGGAAAAAGACAAAGATGTCTGCAGATGCCTATCTTATTTGGTATTATTCTAACTTACTAACCAGTGTTATTAGACAACACAAGTAATTAAGGAGACTAAATTATTTTAAAAGTGAGAAATTATCATGTATGACAAGCGGTATGGTTTCCTATCTGGAAAAGTTGTCTAATTTCAAAGGAAAAACATCAGAAATACAGAAAAGTAGCTGATAAAAAATGTACATAACCTATTAATTTTTATTTGTACAGAGAGCCAGTTCAAACTAAAATGTAATAAAACATATTACTTGGAATAAAGTTCAGACATTTGTCAAATTTTGGAAAGAAAAACAGTTTTTCATTTTGATTTGTTTTGTTTTTTTTCTCTTAGTGCTTGGGACCAAACCTAGGAACTCACACGTGCTCACAATCAAGCACTCTAATACTGAGTTACATCCTGGGCCTAAAAGAAAAGTTTTAAGTTCTTTCTGCACAGAAGCCAAAAAATAAAAAATATTATGACTCAAATAAATAGATATACATTGTACTTGAGTAGAAATCATTAATATTTTTAAAATTTCTGCTATTTATAAATGAATCTTTAAGGTCATTAACATTGTATGAAAAATAATTCACACAAAAAAATTGGGGAAATTCTGAAATAGTAGAGTCATCAGGGTACCCCAGGTTTTTATCATTATATTATAAATCTGAAGATGTTAAGTGAGTTTGATCTTAGCAGAAGACAAAACACACATATTAATGGATTAAAATCAATTAGATAAAATTCTCAAATGCCTAAAGCCTTTCAGAATGTGATAAAGATATATTTGCAGCCACTGAGGAAAAGAGTTTATTCAATGCATGGATGAGACAAGGTTAGGAAACAGAAAGCAGAAAAATAAAAATATCAAGCAAGCAAGCAAGCTTGTATTCTATCTTATTTTTTAAAATAGATTCTAGATATTAGGACTTAAAGTCATCATTGTCATTGTCATCATCATCATCATCACCATCATAACTAGGAGAAATTTTTGACTATTTGTTGATTGGTCGGTTGGTTTCAGTGATCGTTTTAATCAACTTTTTCATCACTGTGACCAAAATATCTGACAAGAACAACTTAAAGAAGAAAGTTTATTTTGGTTCATGGTTTCAGAGGTACAGTCCATGGTTCACCAAAATCTATATTTCTGGGCCCAAGATGAGGCAGAACATTATAGGGGAAGAGCAAGGCAGAGGAACGCAGCTCAGGACATGACGGCCAGGAAATAGAAAGAGAGAGTTTCCTCTCACCAGAGACAAAATGTAAACCCCAAAGGCATACCTTCAGTGACCCACCTGCTCCAGCCATTCCCTACTTGCCTACAGTTACCACCCAGTTAATCACATAAATGGATTAATCCATTGATTAAATCACACCTCTCAAAATCTGATCATTTCACCTCTGAAAATTCTTGAATTATTTTACACATGAGCTTTTGAGAGATACCTCATATCTAAATCATAACAGTGGTATTCCAAACCTTTTTTATTAAGACAACAAAATCTAGAAGTCGTATAGGAATGCATTAATTACTTAACTTGAATATCCAAAGCAAGAATACTTCAAGCAAAACCAAGATACAGGTTAAAAAAACAGTTATTAATATCTGTGGATGTATATTAGTCAAAGGGCTAATTTAGTTAACATATAGCCATTTTTTAAACTATAACACAATACCAGCAACTCAAGGGAAGATTCAGGAGAGTTGGAACATGGAGATATAGGAACAGAGATGCCAATAGCAACTAAGCATCTAAAGAGATGTTATCATGATTAAAACATTTGTTAGTATACAGAGTTGATTACAGGCATATTTTGTTGATGGGGTTGTAAATTGATACAATCTTTTTGAAAGCCAATTTAAAGATACATCCAGTATTGAAATACATACATACCATTTCACTGAGTAATTTCCAGTCTAGGAACCATCTAACAATAAAATTCCAAATTTGTACAAAGGCTTGTCCTTGCAAGTTGTCCACTGCAGTAGCATATCAGGTACTGTTTTTCCTTAGGATGGAATACTGTGATGCTGGTTGAAACATTGAAGTTGCTACACATGTGAAGCTGTGGGAAATTCTCAGATAAAATTTTGCAGGAAAACCAATGCACAGAGCATTTCTTGTGATATGCTCCCATTTTGCAAAGAAAGAAGCTATACAATGTATTTATATATGCATTGAAATTTTCTAGAGAAATGTGCAACAAACACTTGACAGCTTAGAATCCTGGTGATAGAGAGACTTTTATTGTTTGATTTTTTTAAGTACTGAGAATATATTATTTTCAGAATAAATAATGAAACCTGAAAATCAGCCCATACCACTTTATTGCATCTCTTTTCCTGCTCTCATCAATCTCTAATCTGGACAAATATTGTGGGGAAATTTGTAGGTCTCTGGTATTAAAGTTTTTTATCTTTCTGTGATATCAGAAATATTGTGAATAGCATCTAAATAGTTTTTGCATAAAACTGAATTCACCTACAATTTTGATCCTCAGCTCTCCACTTAACACAATCTGACTATAGTATTATTGGGGCCTTGGTGATTTTAATATTAAGAAATATTAGAATACATTCAGTGTTGAAATATATTACAAATTAGAGAAATTTTCTGGGCATTTAAAAAATCAGGTTTGGTCTCAGATGATAGGACAGATAAAAAAAATATTGCAAACAAGTTCATTTTTACAGATACCTCTGCCCTTAGAAATACCACTTGGAAGCATATTTAGTGTCCATCAGAGACATTGCCTTGTGATGAAGAAAAATCAGTTACATTCACTAAAATCTCTATCAAACATACCTTTACACTGAAAAAAAAAATCACAAAACTGGGAAAGCGAAACTAAAAATGTCATTTTTTAAAAATTCTTCCTTTTAAATTGTCAAGCTGTTAAAAAATCTCTCTGACTCTAAAGAATGAAACAAATGGTTATT